GGTGGCAGTATCGATGCACGTTGCGAGAAAAGGGGGCATTGATGACTTTCGATATCGTGGACCGAGACCGAAGCTACAATAAGAAAGTGTAACGAATACAGGTTTTGCGCTAGTTAACTTAAGATGTCAGAGAGACAAATAGCTTTCGTTTTTAAAAGTAAATTTATGGTTGTCAGATCATTATTCGTCGTAGATTGATCAAGCTCTGATATCTTGCCCAAGGATTCACTGACACTGCCATCCGTCGCAGCTTACTTTCACACGGACTAACACTCCCAACTTGTTCACGTTTTTCATCAGTGTAAATCTGATATTTCCTCTGCAAGCTTCTATTGTTTCCCTTTCACCACAAACAAACTTGACCTTACGCACCAACAAACTCGTCACACACTTCCCTTCACCATCACCACATCCCTCTTCACACTTACAAAAGTGCCCGACAAGGTATTTGGCAAACATATTTCTCGGATACAAGCATTCACTCATCGTAAATAACTAGATAAACAAAATGGACAGTCCTTACGCCTGCAGCACTGGACTGTCTTCGGACTCTGAGCCTGATAATGCCCCCCAGGCTAATGATTATTGGATCCGACGTCGAGCCCAGGAACGTTTACGGGGGCCTGGCGCTTCCGAAAATAGGTCCAGCCCGGCACCCGAGGACCTAGAGGATGTCCCTCTTGATGATGACAACTCTGACCAGGGAGAGCATGAGGAAGGGTACGACATCCTCGACGGGGCGCTCGTTAGAGGGGCGATGCATCGAGACCGCTCCATGAACGAACTCGCCCCTGACGGGGACTCCGATGAAGAGCCCTCCTCTGATGAGCTCCAGTTTGACGATTCTGGAGTGGTTGGGTACTTTGGCGCTGAGATGTTCAGCGAGACTGAAGAGGTGAATAGCCAAAGGTATGATCCGTGATTGCTTTTAACTCTTATCTCTCGGACTCGTCTATGTTTAAGAACCTAGAAAGCTAACTCAAAATAGCACCTCTCAGATTATCCAGAACCCTTCTGGCACCGACGTCCCCCAAGGAGTTCTTGCTGCAACCGCACAGATTGCGCAGAATAACCTCGCTAGGTCATACGACAACCTCACCGGCGGGCTTACCTACACTGCCCAACGTGCCCAAGATGCCATGGCGACCACTGCCCAGGCAGGGGGCTATCTAGCTGAAGGGGCCTGGCGTGCTGGCAATGGTGTCGTGATTTGGGCTCAAGAGCGATGGCCCAACATGCCTCGTGTTATCAACCGTAGGGTGTTGGGTTCTCTGGCCGAGATTGTGATGGAGGGTGTTCAAGCCTTGCCACCTTCGGACTCCATCATTCGCCCACAAGGACGGCGATGAATAGGGGGGCCAAGGTAGGCTATGGCTTCCTGCCGCTAAAAGTGACGGATTGGGTGCAGGTATTGGCTCTGGCAACCGATGGGCGTGGGGAGTATGGGAGAAAAGTCTTTTGCTGTTTTCGTGTTTTCGTTTGTGGATGATACCAATATATACGGACAAGGAAAGCAATCAGCATGGCGCTCGGAAATTGGAGCATGGAATTTGCAGGCGAGTGTTTATAAAGGGAAAGGAGAGAAAACATTCGGGGTCACGCATCAAGAGCTGGCGTATATAGAACAAAAGTGCTTTGTTATGCAATGTACCATTGTGTCGTCAACAAACTACATTAAACTCCAAGTCGCATGCCGTAATCCTTTATCCCTTTTGAACCAAATCATTATTAGTGCTCGTGTGTCACGTTGTTGAGATCCCTAAATTCACCACGTAGGCTCTCGATCCCTTCTGCCTTGACCTCGTCGACAAGCTTGGCCACCTCAGGGGCAATGACGTTCTCATCAAAGCCGAAGTATTTGTAAGCATCCTTACCAGGTAGTGATTTGCCGAAAGTGGTCATTGAGTAACCAGCATCGGCGTATCGTTCCCAGCCGTTGATGGCATAAGCCTCAATCACAACTCGAGGGGCTTTGGAGCGGTATTGAAGGACTTGGCGTTTGTACTCGAGAGATTGGGAGTTGAAAAGGCGCTGACACGGGAACGAGACCACACGGGCCTTGATGCCGAACTTCTCCTTGAGGACTTCACGGGTCTTGACGGCGAAGACCATTTCGGCACCGACACCGATGAGAGTGACATCGGCATCCTCCTCCTCAATGAAGACATAAGCACCCTTCTGAACACCTTCGCGGCTGGAGTACGCAGGGTACTGCTCGAGGTTCTGACGGGAGAGGGAGATTAAAGATGGAGTGTCCTTGGCCTCGAGAGCGGTAATGAAGGCACCGGCCGCCTCTTCGGTATCGCAAGGTCGGATGTAAAGGAGGTTGGGCATGGAGCGGTACAGAGCAGGGAGAGCAATCGGTTGGTGGGTTGGGCCGTCTTCGCCAGTACCGATCGAGTCGTGGGTGGCAATGTGGATAGCTTGAAGGTTCTGAAGAGCGCCCATGCGGACACCGGGAGCGGCGTAGATGTAGAACATGAAGAAGCTTGATGTGACAGGAAGGATCGTGCCCTTGCCGTAAGCGGCGAGACCGTTGGAGATGGAAGCCATTGCATGTTCACGGATACCCCAATGAATGTAACGGCCGGAGTAGTTGCCATTGATGCCACAGGTGGTCTTGAGGTCGGGCTGTAACTGTGTTAGTGACAGAAAACTGGCTGTGTCAGGGGGAAACTTACATGTTGGAAGTCAACCTTGTCCTTCCAGATCATGTTGACAGAGGGTGACAGATCAGCGGTGCCGACCATGAAGTTCTTGAGTTTCGCAGCCAGGGGGTTGCAGATGATACCGGCAGACTTTCGGGAAGGTGTAGGAGCAGTAGGGAATGACTCCTTGGCAGGAATGATGCCTCGCCAGTCGTCAGTAAAGCGGCCCTCGACACGCTTCATAAACTCTTCATGAAGATCAGGGTACTCCTTGCTGTAGGCATCAACAAGGCTCTTCCAATTCTCGACGAGGCGGTCACCACGAGTCTTACGGTCGCGGAAGAAGTTATAGACCTCATCAGAGACGACGTAGTGCTTCTCAGGGTCCATGCCGAAACGTTCCTTGACGGCCTTGACACCATCGGGACTGAAAGCGGCACCGTGGGCTTTGGCATTGCCAGCAACCTTGCTACCGACTCCGATGACGGTGTGAATGTTGATAAAGGTGGGCTTGTCGGTACTGGCCTTGGCTTTGAGGAGGGCTTTGACAATACCCTCGACATCGAAGCAGCCGTCCTCGACCTCGATAACGTCCCAACCACAGGCGCGCATCTTAGCATTGACATCCTCGGTGTTGCAGAGGTCGACACTACCGTCGCAAGTAATCTGGTTGTTGTCGTACATGACCACAAGGTTGTTGAGCTTCCAATGCCCAGCTAGCTGAATAGCCTCAAGGGCGACACCTTCTTGTAGACAAGCATCGCCGATCATGCAGTAAGTCATGTTGTTGACGAGCTCGTAGTTGGGCCTGTTGTAAGTTGCCGCTAGATTCTTGGTAGCCATGGCGAGACCGACAGCATTGGCAATACCTTGTCCAAGGGGACCGGTCGTTACTTCGATACCCTCATGCTCAATCTCAGGATGACCGGGTGCCAATGAGTTGTAGTTGGATGAGTGGTAGGACTTGAGATGCTCAAAGGTCATGGCCTTGTAGCCTGTGAGATGGAGGAATGTGTACTGGAAGAGACATGTGTGGCCGTTGGAGAGGACGAAACGATCGCGGTTGAAGTAGTCAGGGTCGTTGGGGGAGTACTGCATCACGTACTTCCAGAGGGCGAGGCCAATGGCCGCCATACCCATAGCACCTCTGTAACTCAGTCAGTATATGCCATTCTTTTGTCTTTCGATGGCTGTGGAAATTACCCAGGGTGACCGCCCTTGAATTGCTCACAGAGATCAGCGATCAAGCAGCGAAACTGCCGCAGGGCAAGATCAATTGTCTCTGCATCATCGTTCTTGATCAACTTGACAACATTGGAAAGAGCTACAGGCTCTTCCTGTGTCTCTGGGGTAATTGCGCTTGGTGCCATCTCGGACTGGATCTGGGACTCTGTGATAGTCTTTCAAGACGAGTAGATGATGAGTGCAGCTGAGAAACATCGAAAGTGACTCTTGAGTTATAGACATTTCGAAAAAGCATCTTTTGCGCGTGATCTTTCTCATAACGACGGTGATGTTCGTTGTGGCCATGGCACACCGGGTTACCCAAACAGGGCAGGGGAAAGCGCCGTGGGGATATGTGCGTTTGCTATTTGATGTGGGGTCCTTGATGAGCTTGACATTATTGGATTGAAGGAGAATCGGGTTCTGGATCAGGAAGTTGGAGGCACCAGATCACGGCTTTGCCTGTTGAGGTTAGAGTCGAGATTGCGCTTAGAACTGCCATGGTCTTGATGCTCGGGGTATTGGCGCCTCATGATCGTGTGGAGACAAGGTTGCAACTATTTGGGTGACGGAAATACTGATGAGGTTGGTGTGTCGTCTCTAATAAGTGTTGTACAACTCTGGGAACCTGCATTCGCGACAGAGATTGCTAGGTGAAAGAAACAACCGGACTTGTTTGTAGAACCGAAGGATAGCAAAAACAAACGGGCAGTTCAGGGGCTAAGACACGGTGGAGACACCCCCGTTTTTGTGTCTTGCTCAACACCTGAGCACATCTTTTTGTCCCCCCTCTTTCAGCCTGGGAATACTGGATCTTGGCGAAGGCCACGCCTGTCGTAGTGGGATGTGACAACCTCCGGCTGCAATTACCTCGTCGAATCAACCAAGAATCACTCTTCAAACTCAATTTGAGACACATCATTCTTCGCAAAGAACTTCCAAATGGAGCCCATGACGGTAATGCTTGACTCAACATATCTTCGGCGCCTCCAGAAATGGATATCCGTTGATGGTATATCCTGACGAGCGTGCGTCTCCAAAACTGTTGTCCCCCGGCAGCCTCAATTCTTTTCTTCACTTATCATTCTTTTACGACCTCGTTGATACCAATACAACTTGATTGCCACAATGGCTCCCGCTATCGTATCCGACATTGAGCTCCCGGCCCATGTGCCTGAGACTAGAGAAACACCCGCTTCCAAAGCATCAACGTTCAAGCTCTTTTCCCTCGAGAACAAGACCGTCGCCATCACAGGCGGAGCTCGCGGTCTGGGTATAACACTTGCCATTGCTGTTGTCGAAGCCGGCGGCAGTGTAGCTTGCCTCGATATTCTCGAGGAGCCATCACCAGCTGAGTGGGCACAGCTTAACAAGATCGCCACCGCTAACAAGGCTTATGTCTCATACCGAAAATGCGACGTCACAGAAGAGCAGTCCGTCGAGACAGCGATGAAGGAGATCGCTGCTGAGGCTGACCAGTCTGGAGCGCCTTTCTGGGGCACAATTGCTTGTGCCGGCATTCAGCAACAGATTGCGGCGCTGGATTATCCAGCTGCCGACTTTGATCGTATCCTACGAGTCAATGTAACTGGTGTCTTCAATACTTGCAAGTACGCAGCACGCGTTCTGCGAGAGAAGAACAGCCCCGGAAGCATCGTCATCATTGGAAGCATGTCAGGCAACATTGCAAACCGAGTAAGCCCTCAAAGCAATCACCAGGCATATCCACAGACTAACAAAGGACAGGGTCTCTCCTGCACAGCTTATAACTCCAGCAAGGCAGCTGTTCAACAAATGTGCCGATCGGTCGCTCAGGAATGGGGTCAATACGGCATCCGAGTCAACACCTTGTCTCCCGGATACATCAGAACCGCTATGACGGATCAATTGCTTCAAGAGAACCCCGAGGTTGAGAAGACATGGATGGCGGGTGCTTTGCTGGGCCGCCTGGGGGCTCCCGAAGACTTCAAGGCCCCTGCGGTATTCCTACTGTCCGAGGGTGCTTCATTTGTTCATGGAACAGACTTGAGGGTCGATGGAGGACATTGCGCATCAGCATGATTGATTAGAGCGTTTGCCAATATAAGAAACTTTACCACTTGATTGCGGGGTGTCCCAGAAACGTGCAACGGTCTGGGGATCAACTGGTCGACCGCCCATTCCCCTACCTTTAGGACCGAGACCGTTGCTAACGAGCGCCCGAAAGTCCTCTTTGAGCCCAATTAAGGCCGCATGAAAAAGAGATAAAGTTATTTACCTCATTGAGCTATTTGAACGCCAGGTGACCTTAGTCAATGGCGTTCACACTGCCACCACCAAAATCATGGCGCTAATTCAGCCTCTGGTGTTAGTCGCGGAAGCCTTGCGAGGTTGTTTCAGTAATCTGGCTGCCTCAGCTGAACCCATATAAAAAAGTGACAACTACCCATATTTGGTCGTTCCATTCAATCAAAAACATCACAGTCAATCGCAATGGCTTCTATAACCCTCTCAGACAGTGCACATAAGGCGCTGGAGCCTCTCCACCTCCAAGATCGTATCATCGGTACCATTTTCGGCTCAGCGCTTGGAGACGCAATTGGCTTATACACAGAGTTTCTGTCCGCCGACATCTCAGCAAAAGCATACCCCGACCGCAAGTTTACGTTGCTCCCTGCTGAAAAAGCGACACCTTTTCGGCGCGACCATCACAGAAATTTCCATCGTACTGGAGAATGGACTGACGACACAGACCATGCTGTTCTGATACTGCTCTCATTCCTCCATAGCGATGGCGAAAAGCTTGATCCACAAGACTTTGCGTCGAGACTGTCAGTTTGGGTGCGTATGGGACTGAGAGCGCTGGATACCCTGCCTCTTGGTCTTGGACGTACAGTCGGCGGGATCGTGCGCAGCAAATCTTACCTAGAGGATCCTGAGGGCACAGCGCGCAAGTTCTGGGTGACGGGGAAGTACAATGCTGCGCCCAACGGAAGTCTGATGAGAACACATCCGCTGGGGCTCATGTGTCTCACCAAGTCCGTTGAGGAGACCTTTCAGATCGCAGCAGATTTCTCTGTCGTTACACACGTCGACCCAAGATGTGTGGTCTCTTGCGCCATTGGCACGGCTCTTGTTCGTGGACTTGTCCTCGGCGAGATCTACGAAGAGCAACAGGTAGATGAGTTGATCGAAGCTGGCCTCACGTGGTACAACGAGCTCCGCGAAAAAGAATTGCAGGATCCAGACAAGAAAGATGAGCCTCGCCTGGACGTTGACGAGTTCAGAACGCATGCCACAGCCCAATCTCTCGCGGACCTAAAGTTGGATGAGAGTTACAAGATCGGATACGTTTACAAGACATTTGGCTCTGGTATCCTGCTTCTTCGGCTAGCACTTCGCCAACTCAAGTCTTCCGGGCAATTATGCTCCCAGCTTGCCATCTTCGAGAAGCTCATCACGGATCTGACAATGGAAGGCGGCGACGCAGACACAAACGCCTGCTTTGCCGGTGCTCTATTGGGAGCACTACTTGGGTACAAGTCCTTGCCTCCACATTGGCACGATGGTCTCCGCCATGGAACTTGGCTTATGGAGAAGTCAGAAGGACTTTGCGACGTGTTAGGTGTGACCAAGGGCTCATACTCCGGATCACGGGACAAGGATACTGCTGAAGACGGTGGACGCGGGTTCTTGACGGACGCACAGATGGAAGAGAAGTGTATGAGAATGCAGGCTTGGATGGCGCGGGAGGAAACAGAATGGAAGAAGAAGCAGGAGACCGAGAAGAAGAAACCTAATTGGTTTGCTTGGAAATAGTGTTGGAATGATACCTTGTAGCCTTTTCATAGCATATGTTTGACAGCTTTCAATCGCAGGGATTATGTTCAAGTTCCTACTCTCTTACACCGATGTGAACAATGATCTTGGTATTTTCCAAGCTGATAGTAGATATAACACAGTACTAAATGATCCTAAATTGATTGCTATATTGTACATGCATGATGCAATAAAAGGAAGAGTACAACGGCCCCTTTTTCGTCCCCCCACGTCCTCCACCATTTTACTCCCTCATATGGACCTCAGTCTCAAACTTCTCATTACTCTCAGTCTCGCCAGTTTCACCACTGGCACTCTTCTCAGAAGCCTCTCCAGGCACACCCATGCTGTGATCCCAGTGAAGCAAGACTTTTGGACCGGTGAAGAGCTTATCGATCTGCTCGAGAGATAACAATCGGGTCTCGGGGTAGAAGAAGTAGATAAGGGGAACGAAGAAGGCGTTGAAGATGCAGAAGTAGATGTATGTCTTCCAGCCAATGCTTGAGATAGACACGGGAGTGATCTCGACGACGAGGAAGGTGAAGATCCAGTTGGAGGCTGTTGCAAGGGCGGCGGCGCGAGTACGGATTGCCAGGGGAGCATATTCGGCGGGCACTATACTTTGTTAGTTGGGCTGGTCTGGGAGACACTCGGGAGCGTTGACTTACAGAGCCAGGGGATGGCGAGTAACCCAACAGCAAAGAAGAAGTCTACCATGGAGTTAGCTGGGTTCATCTCATTTTCAGGGGCTGACTTACTGAATAAGAACAGCATGACAATAGCGACAATACCAGGTCCAGGCTGCCCAGTAGACACGGTTCCAGCCAAAACAGCCATGCAGACTGCTTGACCAGCGGCGGCAAACATCATCAACTTGCGGCGACCGAGGCGATCAATGATCCAGATAGGGATAAGTGAAGAGAAGAAGTAGGCAACTCCATTGAAGCCAGCAAGTAGGAGACTCAGGTTATGGGAAATGCCGACTGATTCTTGGAAGATGACGGGAGCATACTGTGACTTTGTGTTAGTCGTTCGGGTCTAAACGGATGTATACTTCAGTCCAGGGCACTTACGTATGTGATAAGGTTAATACCGGAAAGCTATTAGAGGAGAGTGTTAGTGAGGATCCAAGAAAGAAACAGTAGAATGGTGCCTTACCTGTTGCATGAATTGTCCACCAATACCGAGCATTGTTCTGTACAGGAACTTCTGCTCTCCATTCTTCCACATAGCCTTGAAGCTGCTCGTCTGCGCCGCCTCACGCTCCTCATTGATAGCATGCTGAATCTCAGCAATGGCACGGCTGACTGTCTCATCCTCCTTGGAGATAGACTTGGCATCTCGGCGCACAGCCCAAAGAACCTCTCGCGCCTCGTCGTGGAGGTCATGGTTGATGAGCCAACGAGGAGACTCAGGAAGAAGAACGATTCCAATGAAGGTCAAAATAGCGAAGAATATCTGGAAGGCAAGGGGGAAGCGGAATTGGGCGTCATTGCTGACGTAGGACATGCCGTAGTCAACCCAGTATGAGAGCATGACGCCGAAGATGTTGATTGCGAGTTCGATGGCGAGACCCTTGCCGCGGTTGCTAGCTTTCATGAGCTCAGAGTGCCATACAGCTGAAGATTGTTAGTTGAGATCTGTGATAAAGTCAGGTGCAACTTACGAATGGTACTGGTGTTCATGCCGTTTCCGAGACCAGCTACAATACGACCAACGATCATCTGAGGGATTCCAAAAGCTGATGCTTGAAGAGCAGCTCCGATGCTGAGAACAACACAGCCCATCATGATACACTTGCGACGACCAAAGTACTCGCCAAAGATGAGACAGAAGATGGCGCCGAAGAAGCAACCGATCTCGTAGATGGCGACGACTGTTCCTTGAAGAGAGGAGCTGCCATTGCCACCATCTGTAGTGTCGATCTCGGGAAAAGTGTTGGTAAATGCAGTACCTGTCAACAGGCCAGACATGACACCCTGATCATAACCAAAGAGGAGGAAGCCAGAACCAGCTGTAGCCGTGATGGCCCAGTCCAGGGGTCTCCCAACAAGGATCGTCATAGTGAAGAGATGACAAGAAGTGAAGAGATCGAAAGAAGCTATTCAACAACCAATGTTGATGCTATAAGTCACGCAACAGTAAAAGATGGGGCGACCCCATATCAATATATACTGCTCCGAAGTGACAATTCGGCGACGAGAAAATTAGATCAACTGTTGACTCGCGCGAAACAAGGTTCGTTCCAAGGCCGTGACATGGCGCCAGTTCCCCGTGGGGAGTCCACTGTACCGTAACATTGGATCATCTGGGGTTTTTGCGGGTTAGACGAACGGTTCCGATTTCGAGAGACGTGAGGCATTTGCAAGCGCTGGAGAGAAAATGGGGCATTTAGGCAGCCGAATTCAGGGATGAAGTTCTTGAGTTGCCTTGTTTTTGCGAAAAGGTGAGTCGTAGCCGATGGAATGATACGATAACTGTGAATTGGGGGTGTCGTTGAAGACGGATGGTTTAGCAAAAATATCTGTGCGTGCAATCGATGATGCGGCGGAAGACGTGGTTTTCTCAGGCGGGATAGCTGCAGTATGCCTAAGCGTAGGCTCTTTATTAGGGGGTCTTGTAGATGCAGCCACAAACAATAGTCAATTGTTTGTGCAGCTGAGAAAGACAAACGCTTTAATATCAGAGAGTACAACAAGCACCAAAACTCTGGTAATTGCTCAATTGACCAAAGAAAAGCCTTGGTCTTGACACCAGAGCAATTTGGATGCTTCCAGGTTGCCAAGGTCCGCTTAGACCTACCAAGATCGGCTGCAAGTCGGAGTTCCCCTCCGATTCTCCATCTCCACTCCTCACTGCAAGACCCCAGAATGAGCGATGGCATTTTCGGTTGGGACGACACTAATTCGCATGCAGATGCCCTACACCTTACGCATTGTATACTCTCCCAGGGTGCGTACACCTCCCTTATCCGATTCGCTGTGAGATATACTCAAATGACTGTCTGAAGTTTGTGCTTACATTATCGCGAAGAGCATCAGAACCATGGTCGGATTAGGAATCTGGGAACGCCCTATTGAGAACCATAAGATAAAGATGCCATTCGGTATCAAAGATGATAGAATAGCAAACAATTCCTTTGCTTGGCCAAGTGTTAGCGCTTTGTGTGACACCGACATCATAATACACGACAAACACACCTCACAATCATGACACTCGGTATGTGCTTGTGGAAGCAATACGAGCCAACTGTTGACCAAGAA